AAAAGTGTGATTTCAAATGCTAATGTTTGTGTCCAGAATACGACACGGACGAGTCCGTCAACTACAAGCTGAGGCAGGGCTACGACAGCTTCACTAACATGGGAGCCGACGTCCGCATCCTGAGCGCCGGCCAAGACGATGCCCGGGAGGATGAGGAGGAAGGGGAGCAAGAAGCCCACGAGGACTTCCATGCGCTGCTGGTCAAGGCCTGGGAGAGCAAGGTCTTCCCCGTCATCCGCCGGCGCTTCCGCAACGAAGCTGAGCGCCGGTCGGGACTGGAGCAGATCAAAGGGGCACTGCAGCTGGGTAAGTTCAGCCCGACGGTTGGGGTTTTTTTTTGGTTCAGTGAACTCTCCTGTGATTACATGACAACTTATTTGTGATATATACATTCGGAGAATACGACATTGCTCTGTAAGTTCCCATGTAAAAAATTCCATATAAACTCGTTCATATTTTTATGCTCAATTGACTTGAAAATGCTGACTTTTTAAGTCCACAGCTTTTGTTGCTGTGAAGTGGAAAGATTCGATTGGATTTGTGGCAATTATTCATATCGCACTTAACACGATATTCTTCTTTTGAGGCTTTTGTCACATCTGTTCCAATTTTGTACCTTGTCGCACCAGGCATGACTGACATCGCCAGGCAGACTGTGGAGTTCCTTTATGAGGAGAATGGCGGTATGCCCCGTGACCTCCACCTGCCAACCATCGAGGATATCAAGACCGAAGCGGCCAAGTTCACCATCGACAAAGTCCGCAAGGGGACTACTGTGGTCGTCCGGCAGCCGGAAAGCTCTGGGTCAGTTGGAAGCACCGTGGTGCCAAAGTTCGCCGTCCGGGCCATGCTCAAGACGTTCGGCCTGACTGGAATGGTACTGGACATTGATTCGGTAAGGAGGACGTTGAAAAACTGACTTTGAATTGGGGGGGTTTGTGGGATTTCGACCGGTGAAGAGAGGGGAATATATTTGAAAATGGGATTGACTTGATTGTGGCTCATCTCATTCAAAGTTTAAGGTGTAAGACTTACAGACTTTGTGCCAAAATGTGTGAGCCAGAAAAATTGTTGAGAAACTTATATATTATGAGTTTATTGAAATATTTGAGTGCTAAACATACTCAGTCCTGCACTCAGGATATATTAGGTTACATGTTGTGAAAGTATGTTCATTTTTTTTCTCCAAGTATATTGCACTAAAAATGCCATGAACTGATTAGAAGTATGCATCAGGTGATATGTATCATCAGAGTCAAATGTTACTTGAGGTTTGAGATTTTCTGATTTGCTCTTTTGATTGTGGTAAAAACTGTTGGGTTTCAAATAATGAAGAAGGGGCAAATATTAGTACTCGGGGGGTAATGCAGCATAGTTTCAAGATATTGTGGGTGGTCTTTTACACTGAATACCCTGGCGTCACTGACTTGCAGCAATTTTTAAAGATTATTGTAATATTGCACTGGTTATATTTGCCCCTGCTAGTGGTTCAATATTAGTTATTGTATAACTTAGATATTGACATCTTTGTGCTTGATTTCCAATCAGCGTCAAGAGCTGGTCCAAGTTGAGACCTACCTGCGAAGTGAAGGGGTGCTTGTCCGATACTGGTATCCCCTGGATGTGCTGGAGAGGCCACAGTCGGGGTACCGGCGAGGTGCACTGACGGGCCTAGCTGCACTAGACATCTCAAACATCAACATCCACAGGTACAAAGTGTAGATTAGCTCTGACCGTGCCCAATTTGACAAATTCTGTCCAGATTCGAAAGGATTTTACTGGGTTTAGAAAGGCGGGGCCCACCCGCTAATTGGACTTGATTGCTGGGAAACCTTTCAAGTGCAAATAATGTGCCCATGCGATGTCCACAAGTAGATTTTTGAATTGACACGGGTCAAGTTTAAATTGTCATAGAGCGCCGAAGTGTGACATCATTTGAACCAGGAATTGTAGTGCAAATGAGTATGTGGGCGTGTTGGGTCACACACAATGCGTTTTACGCACAATTGTGCACGTGACATATTCACTTCAGTACTGTATGTGCAGAGTCATAGAAGATTTTAAAGGATGATTATTCTTTGGTTGGAGAGATAAATTGAAACACTCAGATTAGGCATGAGTTTCGAGAGTTGTAAAACACTGTCAAACTAACTAGTAGAAACACCTTCTTTTCTGACGACAGAGAGCTTCTCCACTGCGAGTCCACATCAGCCCGCATGTCCTGCCGCACAGCCCTGATGGAGTTCCTGGGTCACTGCCAGAGTCCGGAGGTCATTGAGGTCATCCCCTGCTCATTGACCTCGGGTCAGGCCTCGGCCAGTCCAGAGCACGATATTTCTCACCTGCAGCTGCTGTCAAATCAGCTGTTGGGATCACCGCAGCCAGACGGGGCCCTGCAGGTATGGCTTTAAAAAAAATTATGACATCAAACTTAAAATCAATTCTTATGATGCACAGTTTTGTCACCGTTTTCACGAAGAGACATTTTGGCCCAAAATCATGATTTTTTGTCAAATATTTGTTGTTTGGCAAAATTAAGTAGGCTATACAATGCCTAGGACTTGGTGTAATTATTTTTCCCCAAATCTTTTGAAATCATCCAAATCACTATGATTTACCCGGGGCAAATATCAACTAAACTGCATTTTGCATTTTCATGAAGAGGCAAATTTTTCTTCTATAGATGTAGCGTTATCAATAAAGGGTAAATTCATGGGCAAACTCATTTTGCCGTTTCCATGTAGAGGTAAATTTACCCTGGAAGTGTTTGCAAGTGTAACAGTTTTGCACCTGGCACACGCTACAGCACACGCATTTTCATTATAGACAAAAGTCGCGTGAAGTTTAGCATTTTCACGAAGAGGCGAATTTGTTTGTTTACAAAATACACAATTTTTATTGACTTCTATAAATATTGGTCGGCAGTTTTGTGTCATTTAAGATCCCCTCTTCATGCAGTAACATTACTCAAGTCAAAAGGCGTGCTAAATACTTGGAAAATAAGTGTTTGAAAGAGAGACCAGCTTCAGATGGGACTTTCTCGAAAAGTGTTATTTTAGTGATATAAAAAAATTCGTCCCTTTGCGAAAAGACCAACGATTTGTAGAAGAGAATGGACTGCAATGATCAGATTCATGAAAATTACCTTTTAGCCTTGCTGTAAATGGTTATGTTGTGAGGAAAACGTGTAAGGAGAGCAGGATTTTTGGATGTACACAATAGATACATCTCTTCATTGATAGACGGTACTTGTAGATAAATATGTCGCATCGGTATTTTGTTGATACACCACATAGGTTTAAGTGTTGTTGACTGAGTGATCTCCAGGTGAAGACCAGAACATGAAACTCAAAATGCTGAGTAATTCAACACTTGATTCTTTCTTTGGACCATTTAGCTTTACAGAGATACTTGCCCATGGTGTGTTCACAAATTTTGCTTTTCATATTGAATTCACCATGCATAGCCTCAAGTCTAACTTGTACCTTTATACTGTTCAGTGGATTCATCTATTATTTCAACAAGTTTGAAAGTCATCAGTTCTCTGTTTGTTGTTTTCACCATGTGAACGAAACTCGGAAAAATTAAGTTGAAATGTTTCCTTTTTTTTTGGTTGCCCAGGCATCCTCCCTCCTGACAGCCCAGTGGTTGCACCAGTGCCTGGCCAGCAACACCCGCTGCCTTGCAGACATCTTCTACCAAGACACCCAGGTACTCAGGCGAGAGCTCTTCATTGCCATGGCGACGGCAGCCCACATGGGCGAGGGCAGGCTACTGGAGTTGACCAACCAGCTGTGCGGAGTACTTCAGGTAAGGAGCATGTCTAAAGGCCGGTGTCAAACTCAAAGTCCTGTAAAACCATTTTTATTTACTAGGATCCAATTTCAGTGGCAAGGAAACGGTGAGCATAAAATGGGCTTGGAGCTGGACCAAGAGAGGGTGCTTTTTTTTAGCAACAGAGGCTCCTTTGGTCAGAACTGAACTTCGCTTGTTCAGGAACGACTATCGCATCACTACCAACAAATTGAACCCTCCCAACCTATGCAGCTCTTTTCAACCAAAGCGGAGGTGCTTCTGCTCGAGGTGGATTGTATTTTAGGGTCGTGCATTCTGAGTCAGCAAGGAATTTTGGCATGTCTAAACACACACATCCTGGCTACTGTCAGCAGGTTACTATGTAGTTCTAACTATTTTAGGTTGCAATACCCACCAGATGTCTCTGAAATGTTCAGTGTTGTTTTTGCCAGGAGTAACCAAAGGTTGAAAATTTCCTTCCCACTTAATTTGTTTAAAAAAGAGCTACACGGACCAATATAAGTCTCCGAACATCCCCAGTAGGCATCCAGTGTGGACCCGCTTTTTTTCTCAGGATTTTACGATCCGCTCATAAAATCCAAATTTGATCTTTTTTTCAGGTTGCGCCCCACCATTTCCCCTGCGAGATTACCACAGTAACGGAGACCAAAGTCAACACGGACCTGCAGTTTCCCGGGGCAGCAGCCGTGATCGTCAGCTGCCAACAAGATCCGAAGACAGCCAGGAAGGAGTAAGAGACACTTGATTCTTCAGCAAAATTGCCATGATTGACAACGTTATAAATGTGGATATTTGCCTTTTGCTGACACAATTTGTATGAAAGAAACTTGTACACACTTGTGGAAAAATGCATAAGAATGTGTTGTTTTTTACAGGGCTTCACTTTACCAAGCTCCCTGGGCCAGAGTTTTCTGCTACGGAATCGGCCATCGAGTCAAGAAAACAGGGCAGACAGCCTTGTTGGAGGTAGTGAGTTATCCTGCTGACGCTGCCATCAACAGTTCAGCGGGTCTGTCTGCGCCTCCAAGCCACAACATTGACCCCTACCCAGCCGTGGTCCTGCCCTGCAACCGGCTCCACCTTAGGCATGGGGTGTCACCAGTCCCGGGCTACGTGTTGTCCCTCCACGGCCTGCCCTCGGAGTTTCCTTTGGCCATGGCCTTCATTGAGACCCTCGTGGGCTGCGAGCACCAGATCGGCAGCCAGAAGATAGAGGGCACGGATGAGATCGTCATTGACCGGCTTAAGGACATCCCGACCGAGCGGCAGGAGATTCTGAAGGACCGCCCCGTTCACATCCCACCCCGGGTAATCTCCAGGGCGGCTGAGCTCCTGACCCATTACCTGATGACTGCCAAGGTACCACCACTGATTAAAGAGTACTTGTTCCACATGCTGGCCCAGCTCCTGCGGACACTCTACAAGAGGGAATCTTTCGGAGAGAGTATTGCATCCGCTGCCACCACTCTCCCCTTTGTTGTGATCACCCAGCTCGTTCAGTTGAACATGGAGCTCAGGAAGCTCTTTGAGCACGAGTCGACGTCAGGTGTTCTGTCCTCAATCGCACCAGGCCAGCAGTCGACCTACTTCCAAGCCCTGATGGAGCTCTGTCTTGCTCTGGCTGAGGTCACATCTCCGCCTGGCCTAGGAGCGCAGCTTGCCCCATCGGCCCATGCTACCAGCTCTGTGCAACTCAGCCCACAGGCAGCTGCCAAACGGAAGAAAGTCAAGATCAGGAGGACAGGGACTACTGTGAAGCGCAGCCCCCGGCCGAGTGAGAGTGACAGTGGGGAGACGTCGGCTTCCACCAGCTCCAAGCCAGAAGAGATGCTGTGGTTCCACCGAGCACTGACCGTGTCACTGATCCTGCGCTACCTAATCGACGGCAACCTCCAAGGAGCGACAGTCACCCGCGATGCCATCCTGGATGCCCACCAGTCCAATTCCGTCCCGTCCACTCACTCTCGCCTGCTAGTCATCACTGGTATCCCAATGACGCTTGAAGAACAAACAGTTCGTAGGGCCATCGAACGGGCTTGCAGCTCCCACGGCGGACTCTACAAACAAGAGCTGTGGATCCCCATCCAGGATCAGAAGCAACCAGAAGACTCTCCTGATGCAGACACTTCTATCCAAACTCCAGTAAACTTGCAACGACCTGATCTGCCACCAGGAGCTGCTGTCGGCACCCCTGACCCATCCCCGGTTGCAGAGGCCAGTGTCAATACTGCTCTGGAAGACCAAGCTCCTGACACTCAGCAAGGTGCAGCTGTGACTCCCTTGGCTGACCAACACGCTGGCTTACTGACACCCCCTCCAGAGGGAGAAGCCACTCCAGTGGATGGACAAGACAGAGACACTCTCAACCATCCTGATGAGGCCAAACAACTTGTCAAAGGGTACGCTGTCTTAGAGGTGCGCTGCAAAGCCAAAATTGACAGCATCGAGAATGCCCTGCTGACCAGCAAGGAGGTGACCGAAGCAATGCAAGTTGAGACGGCGGCCATCCTGGACGTTTCCCCAGAGGACTTCCTCACCGTTTCGGCCGTCAACTCGGCTTTGCAGGCAGAACTGACAGACAGTGGCGAGTTCTCCGAGTATCTGAGGCACAAACTGCTGACCGATAAACCTCCCAGGGAGCTGAGGCCCCTGGCAGTGCAGGCCTTAGAACAAGTCTTCTACAGCTGCCTGGCGGCTGAGCAAGGCTTCAAACTCCTCTCGGAGCTGGAGGAGAAGGACATGGACACAGCCGAGGTGACGCTGTCCAAGGAGCAAATGCTCAGTCTGGCTCCTGGCAACCTGCTGGTACCTTTCTTTGGGGAGGTGAAGGGATCCAAACACACCGCCCAAGAGGAAGTGACCCTTGTTCTGGAGAAGTACGGAGTGAACCGACTGGGTTCGAGCAGACCGAAAAAATCTAGCGGTAAGACATTTTCTAACATCAATCAACATCCAGACAATGCCATATGGTATTGTTTGCTCCAGTAATTGTTTTACCATTGATGTACATTTAACTTTCGCATTGTTCGCTCACAGTGTTCATGACAGTCAAGCACACCACGCAGATAAGTAGGTCTTTTACACTGTGAAGTTCTGCGGTCATTTGTTCATAATCTTAATTATATGTGTTTTATGTAAGGCGCTTAAATGCATTGCTGTGTTGAATGATTCTCAGCAAACATGGGCAGTGATAAACTGTATGCTACAAAAAAGGAATAAATTACTAGAACAAGTAAATATTTGTTGTCTTGCCAGCGAGAGTAAATATTTTAAAGTCTTCAAATATTTAAGTACCTCTCTTGTAATTCTAGCCAAACCATCCAAGGATCAGAGCAGAACGGTCAATCGTCGAGGGAGTAAGACCAGCAAGGAGAAGTTAGCTGCAGCCGATGTGTCTTTCAAATCAAAGTGAGAAAAAAACATCAACCGTTTTCCTGTTTTCTCCCTCTACGTATGAGCTGGTTCACATGTTTGAAATTTTGACGGCAGATCAAATAGTCGTGCTGCAAATTTCCCAAAGTTGAACATATTTGAACACAACCGCAGTTCACTGCAATTGTTAGGTGATGTCAAAGTGGCTTCCCCTTTTGCATTGGCCCGAAGAACGAGTTGGCCTTTAATACTGCACCAGTCCCAAATTGTTTTAATTTGTGCGTCCCCAATGTAGTGAAGAGTAATGGTGTTATTCATGGAAAGAAGCACACCCTACAGACGTCTTAGAAGATTGATGTGCATCTAGAGCTGCAGAGGCCTGGCATAGGCTGCATCCGAATCACTTGTCTAGAGCTAGGTCTACGTCTTCGCTCAATTGGAAATGCGTGGAGACGCGCAGACAATAGACCTAGCCGTAGCTCTGGAAGCCCGTTTCGGACACGGCCTGATCTTGTGATACATTGCCCAATCCTGCAAGTATGGTCAACTCTGACAAATGTGTCAACAAGATGATCGCCTCTCGTGGAAATAATGTAACTTTGCGGAAGAACCTGAGCTCGAGGGGCAAAATTTATCGAGCTGCTTAAGCACAAAATTTGCTTAAGTGCAAAAACAATCGCTTAAAAAACAATGGTTACCAATATACATCACATGGAGTTTTGGCTGGTGACCTGATTTCTCAAGGAAGGTTTTTCAGGCCTAAGTGAGTTTTTTGCTTCAGTAGCTCTAGGAAAGTGGCCCTGAGGGCCCAATTGAAGAGTATTAGTGCTTTGAAACGTGCGCTTTTTCTACTTGGATTTTAATATAATGATGTTGACTGGCACATCAAACATTACTCAATGTCTAGTTTCAATTTCTGATGACTGAAATGTTTATTATTGATTCGACTGTGAAGACATATGATCTCTCTCCTTGTCAGGTCTGCCAGCCCTTCCGACAAGAAGTCCAAGCGGCCGGAGAAGGTGGCCCGTGACGCCCCCGAGAAACGCCAGCTAGAGGAGGGCCGCGCCAAGCAGGAGGCGGTCCCAGAGAGGGCACTGTGCCTGGCTGGGTTCCTTCAGTTCGTGACGGAGCAGGCACAGGACAACGCTGTGCCCGTCTGGAAGGCCCTGATGGCCTGCAGCTTTGACTTCCACTTTGACAGGTGAGTGAGGCTGTGTTTAAATCAGGTTGCTAGTTGAAATTACTCACGAGTCTATGATAGCGTCTGCAGCTACTGCCCATAGAGTCGTGCGGGATTTCAAGGTGAAGCCAAGAAATCCAGACATGCCTTTAGTGTCACATCTCTCCAAGTGTAACGAAGCCAGTAATCGATTTTGTAAAGTACGTCAAGGTTGTTGTGTTTTGTAAATTACAGTAGATAAGACAATAGTAAGTTACAGTGGCTACAGTTCAAGGTAGCCGCAATGAATTTCTCTTAGACACAATTTTCCTGCAACTTTGTAGTCTTTAGTGTATGAACACTGTTTTACACTCCCATTTGGTTAAATGCATGGAAAAGCGCACTTCTTTAAACACTTCAAATTACCCATACGTTCCTGGACAACTGAGGGCGCTGTTACTGCGATGTCATCCAGGGAAAACAGTTTCGTGCATAGGTTTTTCTCTTAAAATTGTGAACCCAGGATTTACTTATTGATATTATTCCTGAGAAAAGCATGGTGCTCACTTATGGCTTTGCGCATAAACAACAATGAATCAGCAAAGAAGAGAAAATGTAGTCCAGCAAAATCTACAAAAATGCAGGACTGGTTTCTGTAAAAAAACCAGGGTAACATTTCGGCTTTCTTCCGTGGATGACATCTCAAGTTTTGTCATTAATATGCAAATACTCATTAGCATGAACACAAAATACCTTTTGAAATAGTGAAACAAAAGTTGAAAGTAAGGTTAACTGAGACACAAAGGTGCATTTGGAAGGTTTGTATTAAACCCCCTCCCAAACGATTGCAACTACCCTTTTAAAAACAATGGCTGTGAGCTACGGTGAGTTAAATAAGAAAGTCATCTTCCCAGAGTCAGTTTTGTTACTTGAGAGACCAAGAAGAACAATATGAAAGGATGTGTGGAACTCATAAACTTTTAAAACATACATTGAAGGAATTGTCATCACTCTGCAAATATAATTGTGATTACTTGTTATATCTCTGTCTAAAGCTTTAATGTTTTCCAGTCAAATCTTCTTTTTTTGTTTATTAATGCAGTTTACAAAGTACTCAATAACTGTTCACTGAATAAACGTATTAGAACATGAAACAGCTGTCATGTCATGTCGCACTGTACAGCTATTAAATTGTAATTAGTTTGATTGTTCATTGATATTATCCCCAAATCCTCTGAATTACAAAATCTTGTTCAGCATGGCTGCCTCAGTAACTCTAAGATGTTTTCCTGTATCTTTGGACAAAGATTCGCCAGCCTGAACCACTCGGACACCCCTTCTTACTTCAAGCACTGGACCCACGACATGGACGCAGCCCTGGTGCGTTACGTGGACCGTCTCTGCCGGAAGTTCTCCATCACCCCGGGCCGTCTGCACCCGCACGAGGTCTACTTCACAGAGGACGACCTGGTCAACCCAGCTTTTGCTCCCTTGCAAGGTGACGAGAACGTAGACACATGATAGAGAGTCGTTGAAATTAGTTCAGAAGGAACTAACGTTTCATGACAGCGGTCAAAAGCGACCAAAGGCACGAGGCAGGACGTTGCCACACCATGGGCTGATCAATTTGTGAAAGAGGACAAATCTGAAAAAAAAAAGAAGCCACTTCCGATCTCTCTTTTTTTTGGTGAATCTTCAGTGGCTGTACTTGCAGATTGTACCAGTCAGTCGTAAAGTAGTGCAAATTGATTTGATTCCTTCTTCGTTTCTGCCTCCAGGAGTCCCACTGGAAGTCCTTCGCCTCCGCTTTGCCCTCCTCCAGTCGCTAAGCAACAACCTGGAGGCCTACTTCCTGCCCCTAGTTGACCTTCGCCCCTCCCAGACCCTGTCGCTGAGCACGGCCGCGCTGCTGTCCCGGGCCAGGCGGCTGTTGTTCTATGACACCAAGGTCAAGTTTTTCAATGCCATCCTGGACGCCACGGCCCAGCGGAACCTTGACCAGGCGGCCCCGGAGATAACTCTTGACCCACTGGAGATTGTAGGAGGTCAGTGTTTTTGAACTCAGTCCATCACTACATTTCCCATTTTTTTGAAATGCGGAACTCTTGTCTTGTTGACGAATACTGTAGTGCCATTGATAAATACTTAAGCAATGTATTTATGTAGTCACACGGGCGTGTTCTCCCCATGCAAATGAAATTGATACTGGTTTGTGCGCATTCAATTGAAAACGTTTCACCCACACTCTTGAGTTGTGTAAATTTACCCAAGTCTAGTATGCACACATTGTGAGGATCCGTAGAATCACTACAGAACTTTAGGATCCATGTAACAATTCGTCGTGTGCCCGGCATAAGGGCGTAAGCGCTTAGGCCCTTTTGCCGGGAAGGATGATCACTGCAAAAAAACTTTTCCCGGTAAAAGGACGAAAGTATGCAACTCTTGTATTTTAATGAAATATGAAGATTTCGTGGCAAAAAGTAAACAAAAAAAAGGCCAAGTCCTTAAATAAGTTTTTCAAGGTTGCTTTTTGTACAGCCCAGGTTGATTTTGTAGTAAATTATATCCGTTTTTACTAAATAAAGGGAGTGTATTTCTTACGCCCTTTTGCCGGGAACATTTTTTCTGCTGTGATCATGCTCCCCGGCGAAAGGGCGTAAGTGCGCTTATGCCCTTCTGCCGGGCACCTGACAAATTTGAATATGGTAATCAGTGTGTGTTGTATACAGCATAGTAGGAGTTTTTATTGTGACATTCTAGTTTTGAAGTTGCTGAACCACGATGTTATTGCAGGCTGTGGTGTTTAGGTCAAAGAAAAGCACAAAATGCGTGTGACACTGGTCGTATTTGTCATCTTGACACAATGACTCACTCTGCAGTGTTGTAACTTCGTCACCCTCTATTTCTTGTGTCTCACCAGCGGATGCGCAGGATTGCCTAGCCACCCAATTCTGTCAGGCAGCCAGGCAGCTATCCATCGTTCCCTCCTCCAAACTCTGCGTCAAGATTGCCAGTGGGGGTGACCCCACGTATGCCTTTAACGTCAGACTGACCGGAGAAGAGGTCCACGGAACAAGTAAGTTATTTTTGATCAGAGCCGTGATTGATTGGTCTTCACAAGTCAGCTCCTGTCAGTCACTACTCAATTTGGGGTCATTCAGTCCCCGGTCTTTAGTTATTCTACAGTCACTTTGATCAAGGTATTTGATAAATTTCTTGCTATTTGTAGCAGGCATATGATCGACTGGGCGACAGTTCTAGTTTTTGTCTTGTTTCTGTTCTTGGAGTTGATTTTGCCTTGGTTTGGTTAGATTGGGAAGGTAAAATGATGGATGGACTTTCTGTTTTTGAATCCTTTATTTGCTTACTTTTTAAATGCCATTTGACTTTTCTTTTTTGTTGTTAAGATACATATCCTGTGGAAAACAATGAAAGTTAATCTTGAAAAAAAATTTGGAGGAAAAAGTGTTAAACTTGGCGCACATTCTTGTTCCGTAGTTGTGTGGACTACACCCATGTTGAGACATGTTGCGGGGACCAAAAATGTAACAGGGACAGCTTTTTGTCCCCACAACTCAGTTTTGACTTTCCTAACAAAGTAATTGTCGCCTTTTTGTGGTCGAGGCCCACCCACACAGGCCATATGCATCCGTACTTTTTACATTAAAAAAGAAACACTCTTTGCAAGCTCATGCGGTCTTATTTGTTGAAGAAATATGTCCCAAGACAAACACTAAAAACTGTTCGCATGAAAGGAAATTTTAATGAATACCAAATAATAATAAAGAATTATGATAACCGTCAAATGTCTTTAAAATCCCCCCACCCTTTAGGTGGTTCGTTTAGGCATTTTCTCGGTCAGGTGACCCGTGAGCTTCAGAATTCTACCCTTGGTCTGCTCGTCCTGTGCCCCAGTGCAGGCACCGGTCGAAACAAAGGCAGATACTTACTGAGGCCGGGCGCCATCACTTTCCCGGAAGAGAAATTGCTGGAGTTTTTTGGACAGGTAAAGAAAATATGTCCACCCTTTAAAGATTTCTTTTTTCCTCTGTGGTGAAAATTTTTCTCAGAAATCTGAAATTTTATGAAGATTTCCAAAATAAAATCACCAAAAATAAAAACTGCAAAAATCACGAATTAAATAAACAAAACAATTTCTTGTCTTTGAGAGTCACAGTTTGAGAATTTGAGCTACTGAGCTCATGGGTGCAACCTTTCTCCTTTCCTCCCAGCTTCTTGGCATCGCTCTGAGAGCTGATATCCCCTTGGCCCTGGACCTACTCCCGTCATTCTGGAAGTGCCTGGTAGGAGCTGCCCTAGACCCAGAGAGGGACCTGGAAGAGGCCGATTGCATCACCTACGGCTACATCAAGAAATTGACAGAGGTAGGCTAAACCTAAAGGTCTGATCTGGGGTGCATCGCATACAAATTAGTCTGTAAAGCAACCGATAAGCTTCTCAGGATTGAGTCTGGTAATGGAGTCAGAGAATGAGTCGGATGTTGCAACCAAATGCATGATTTAGTGCAAATCATTGCTTATACTTTAGTGACGTTGTTCTTAAGTACAGCTTGTCAGGGCTATACTCTAAAAAGTTTCGGTCATACATTTCATTCCATTCTTGATCATTTTATTCACTGGTCAAGTACCTTGTGTATTTCCTCGGCTACAATTATTGATTCTCTTCTCAGTTTTTGTTGGACGATATCTGACATTTTCTGTTCTGTTCCTTCTTCTTGTCATGGTCAAGTGGCAGAGTTTCCCGAGATAATTTATTCATTCGACATTTTGCCTATGATAACCTGCAGGTTCAGAGTGAAGCGGAATTTGACGCTCTCTGTGCGGAGGTCTCCTCCCATCACGCCTCTGACCTGGAGTCCCCCGATCCGGACCCCGTCCCCGAGCGCCCCGCCAGCCCTTCCTCCACCCTCCAGATGGGCCAGCCCGCCCACAACCTGACGTTTGTCTACCACAGCTTGGCCGGGGACGAGGTGGAGCTGTGTGCGGATGGCAGGACACGTCGGGTCAGGTGGGTTACCGTGGCAACAAATCAGAACCTCAGGTTGGCTGATTGAGATTCAGTTGACGTAGCTGTGTCATCAAGTGATAATTTCGTTTGGAGAAACCAAGGTGCTTTCCAGTGGCTCGGGAAACAATCAGTGTGCTTGAAGTTTGAACGTTTTATTTTGTTCTACCGAGAGAAAAGTGCAGTGAGAGAGTGGGGTCTGAGTGACGTACTCATGCTCTATTTGTACGGTAGCGCATCAATCAGTGGGACCTATAATTTTTGGAGTCACTCGAAACTTATGTTTTACAGTTGTCTGTTCTTTTACGTGAATAGTTTTGCTTGGTTGTAACCACTGGCTTGCAGGGTTAAAAACAGGAACAGCATGTCTGTTGCAGTGTTAAGTGGCAAGTCGTAAAATTGATGTTTTGAGCCAGAATTGGGGATCTTTTCATAGGAAAACTTTTATATAGACCCTCAGAACTTAAATCAACTTTGACAGTACAGTATGTCACTTAGGGCTTGAGTAAAGATGCAAGGAATGAAAGGAGAATACAGAACTCTGCCTACACAACAGTTTGGTGTGAAATGGATGTAACAAGTTAACACTGAGATGCACTCATGCCAAAAGCATCTGTACATCTGACTGAAAACTCACAAGAAAGTATTCATCCTTCACTGACAGTAGTGTTCTACATTTACCTGGTTCCTGGTTTTGACACATTGTTTACCTGGTCATAATCAGTAAATCATAAATATTCATTTATACATATAAATATTCATTGTGTTTCCTTTTTGAGGTGAAACAGGCTCTGCAGGAGCTGACAATAAACTTTGCTTTCTGGTTTAATGCGAGAGTAGCCTTGGTAGGTTTTCCCGATTGTTGTCTGTTATTTCAGTTGGAAGAACAGACAGCAGTATATCTCGGCCATCCGTGATTTACGATTGAGAGAGCTGGCCAGCCCAGAGCGCATGCTAGCGGTGCGCTGCGGGCTGGCGTCGGTCGTACCGATCCAACTTCTATGCATGATGACGCCGTTTGATATGGAGCTCAGGACGTGTGGCCTGCCCACCGTGGATTTGGACTTCCTGAAGGTAAAAACACCCCCCCCCCAAAAAAAACTTTCATTCTTTGAACCTTACTGGCTGTGCATTTTTGGGGGCTAGAAGCATTCATAAATCCTCCTAAAGTTCACACTGTGTAGGAAACCAATAATTTTTTTGTGTTTGTGTTGACGAAATGACAATGTGGAGACTCGCAGTGACGATGACCAGGTTTTGGAGTCCTCAATCCATTACAATACAGCTAAACAAAGTGGTGGATTTTGACAGAAAAAAAGTGTACTGGAGGGAAGTAACCATTGACATCATGAGAGAATTTGACTTGGTGAGGAAAAAAGGCAAGCGTTAAATCTTAACCGTCTCCTTACTAGCGATTTTAATGGCAGAAATGTTCTTGTTTGGGTTGATCCTGTCATGACTGACAGAGTGTGACCTGTGCCAAGAGCATATGCCTCAGAGAAACAATGTGATGTTGAGTTCTTTGACTCAAATAGTCTGGTTCCTGGCCTTCCTCTCATTGTGCATCCTTCAACCCCACCCTACAAGGCAAAGCCTGGCCGAGACAAGTCGAAACTAAAGCAACCGCAACATTGGACTCACAAAGGCTGTAGGCCACTCATAAATTGCTCGTTAAATGTGTCTCCTTTTGGCCTCCTTTGCTCTTCAGGCCCACACCATGTACCAGGTGGGCCTGGTGGAGACGGACACCCACATCCAGTACTTCTGGTCAGCCCTGGAGTCCTTCTCCCAGGAGGAGATCGGCCGCTTCATCAAGTTTGCCTGCAACCAGGACCGTATTCCCTGCACCTGCCCCTGCCAAGATGGAGAGGCTGACACCAGCCACGTGCCTCCCTACCCGATGAAGATTGCCCCGCCTGACGGAACAGGCGGTAAGGGGAGAAAGTTTTGGGCAATGTTGCCGATTTTTTGAACTCTCAGTTAACGTCCTAAAATTGGCTTTTGCAGGAAATGCTGGGCTACACTGTGAGCTCACTTACCAGAGTTCAAGTGTGTGGATACATGCAGGGGTAGATCCAAGATTTTTTGTGGGCGGGGGTCAGGAAATCTATGGTCAAGTTCGGGCGGCCTGCTCTTGACACAGGTTTCTTGTTCTCACGCTCAAATGGCTGGAACACGACTCAAGAACACTGTTCTCGGAACAGGATCACACACCACCTCCTCGTCAGGGTTTTACAGGAACACACGGAAAACTCGTGAGATTTTGACTTTTGAGCAGCTGCAAAAAGTAGAGAGATGGCTCTCAAAGCCATAGACAACGGAAAGTTTTGCAAAATTAACATTAATTATTTTCCGTAACACAGAAATGAATGTTCCTGTTTATATGGAAAAGAATTCAGCCCATCCAAACATTAACTCTCGAATAACGTACCCTACATGGACGCCGCCACGTTGCATGCTGCTTGCCAGTAACTACCATCGATAACCGGTTGTTTGTTCCCGGCGTTCGAGCGGCCGACCCACGAACAACAAATCGAGCTGTTCGTGAACATACCGGAACAAGCTGCCCGAACTCGGCCCAAGTTTATACAAGGGCTAGGGGAGTAACCACAAGCAGTTGTCACCGACGGTGAAGCCATTTAATCTCTGTTTTGTCCTTAACCACACACGCAAAATAGGATCCCTACGTGGTTTATGCTTATGTCTTCCAACCTCTAGACCTAGGCCCTTAAAAAAACACATGGCAATGAGCAAGGAGGGGGCCGACACCCTACCCCTCCCTAGATCTGCACTTGATGACGTGCAGTGGATCGGTACATGGGATGAACTTTGCATGGTAGGTTTTCTTCTGAATGTGCACAAATCCCTCACTGTCTTTCTGTGGGTGCCAACTGCAAGGCCTGAACGGTTATCATTCCCTGTCATAGCAGAAGGGGGTTTTGTCTATAAAATTGCAATGGTACTGCGATAGTCATTAACAGGCCATAGAAGGCGGCAGCCCATGGAGTGAAATTTTCCGACCATTGCAAATTTAGCAATAGATTTTTCAACTGAATTGTGCACAGCACAGGGCTTTGCACAAGTACCAACACACCACCGAAATAGCACTGAGGATTTTGTCCATAACAGCAACTTTTTTTCCTATTTCTTACTTGGAGAGCACGAAGGCACGGAGGTTATGAAATAATTCTTTCTCTGTAGTGAATGTTACAAAATGCCTTGCTTGCATTTAGGCTCCCCAGACACACGCTTCATCCGTGTGGAGACCTGCATGTTCATGGTGAAGCTGCCGCAGTACACCAGCCAGGAGATCATGACCAGGCGACTGCTGTACGCCATCAACTGCAGGGAGGACCCGCTGAGCGGCTGAAGCAGGAAAGGTCCAAGAGGCGCAGTGGTACCACGAGACGGGGATTGGAATCCCACCCAGTCTGACTCAAAGATGGAGGTTTCTGTCCTCGAGCCTTCCTTGGTCTCTCCAGAAAATTGACGCTTTCCCCCTCCACCTTGAAAATGTAATATCTCTTTGGTGTCTTCTCGATCAAGGTTTTTGTCGGTCTTCAGAACCACAATGACATATCTATTCTTTAACAACCCTCACCTTTGCATTAATAAATGTGGTCATAAAAAGTTAGAAATACAGCAAGGTGCATGCACGTTGCTGTTCATCTCATGTGTAAAGTTCTCTCAATTTCTTTTAATTACTGACAGAGGCCGAGCTTTCAACTTGAAGCTTTTAAGCAAATACACTTCTCTTTGTGCATAAGGTATTACGATGAATGATAAAGGTGAAACATCGTTTCACACACTGTATAAAGAAAACTTGTCGAAAAATGGCACCTGCAAACCGTTCATAATAACATGCATGTGGACAGACAAGGTTTTACATGTAGTGAGATCTGATATCAGACAACCACCTAAATGTGGCATGAAGTTAATCTATTGGTTTGGGATCGGGGATTGTTGGAAGTGTGAGCAGTTTTAGTCGTTTTTGCTATTTAGATATGAATTTTTTGCAGTTCGTTTTTCCACCCACCTGCTCTTAACTTCTCAGTATTGCCATGCTTAGATTTATAATTTTTTGTTTTTTTTCCTAGATTAAAAAAAAGCATTTTACTGTATCTGAAATGAGCTGTATAGTTTGGATGCGTGGGTTACAATTCTTATTCCAAAATACTGTTTACATGTCAGAGGGAAACAAAAAAGTGATTTTTTTTTTCCCGTGATGTTTACGGACCTTTTGCATAGCGGCCATCTTATGGAGCGGTTTGTTTTGTTTTGGATGGAGAGGTTCGAGGAACCCTTTTGTGCATTGTTAACTGAATTAAAATTGAAAACGTCCTCCAAGGTGGCTGCCATTCATAAGGTCTGCTTACTATTGAGGCAGAACAAAACAGTAGTGCTTTCTTCTTAGTTTTAAAGTAGAGTTTACTTCTTTCAAAATAAAGTTACTGTTGCAATCAAAGGATCCTTCGTGATTAGTTTTCAAAGTATTTATTGTTGAAATAACCTTTCCTGATTACGCTTATGATGAGGAATTTAAAAGCCATATTGTTTAATCTGTGTTACGGTGATGAGATAAAAATTATAATTTCCTATCAGCGCACTGGAGGATTTATAGTGAACTGTAAGATACTGGATTATTGCACACTGGATGAGTTCTGTTTTATAGTTTTTAACTGCAGTGCATGGTGTTCAGTGAGAGAGGTGTTTCTCCGTTTGTGCTTGTGAACAGAACTCACTTGTTCAGCCCTCACACCCATAAAGTCTTGTCGATTAACTAGAGCTGTATATGATTCCTGATATTTATTACCGACACAATGATTGCTGTACAGTTGATTGAATTGTAGACCACCGCTGATATTGAGCGCCTTTTCTGGGATTGCATGCAAACTGTGTAACAGTTGGCTGTGTATAGTGTTGAAGCTATTTTGTGAGCAACGTGTAGTAATTTTTGTATTGTCTGGTTTTTTTTTTCTTTCTTTTGCACAGCACTGTTTACTGTTTGACCTTAACAGCTCCCCGGAAGGGGACTTTTCACGTTGTAATGAACACACTCTTCTTCATGCAAGATACTTGGAAGTGTCGTGAACACTTGTTTTTGAAACCAACACAGCATGCCAGTATTGGAATTAAACTTATTGAACAGGAGATTATAACAAAGATATTTAATGCCACCCTGCAGTGATATGAGGGCAGCGTACTTTGATGCTATGTAATCGGGAAAAAAATGTGGGGCAGCATGAGACCAAATTGGGGGATATTTAGAGAAATAAAAACACCTGCATTTGAGACCTCTGTCCGAGCGACGTGTGTGTTCATTTGTAATTTCAATTGTGTGTTCACAATCATAATGCCGACAGAGAACAAAAGAATTACATGAGGACAATGGGTGCTCAGGTTCAACATGTCTTCAGTATCTGCCTTGAGCAGAAGCACCCCCTCATCGGTTGGAAAAATGACGTTAGTGGTGAGTATTCATTTTGTCGGTAGTGATGCGACCGTAACTCGTGCATTTCTTGGTCGTTTGTGAGCCAGCGAAGTACATTATCTACCAAGGGCCAGGCACTCCGTTCATGACGGCATCGAAAACCCATTTAACCGACGGACAGACACACTGCAAACAACACGTGGGTGCGGTTGCACACATGCACATGTGTACAATACTCGGTGGTCGCTTTAATCCGTTTGTTTTCGCGACTTCTTGTATCATCAAGACAACACATAAGAAATTAGTCTCTGAGGGATCGCTGGCACACCTACGTGATATGGAGTAAGTACAATGTATTTTGATTTTATCATTCCACACTTATACTTTACAGGAATAAAAATTCTTAGGCGTAATCCTTGAGACCATGTTGAAAAAGGAAAAGACCATGTTGAGACTAATCCTTGGACTTCAACAGGGTAGCCTCGTCATTGAGAAACTGTTATCATTTAGGGCCCTTATAAAACTTGGAAAAAATCAATAGAAATGAATTAAAACAATTTAAAACAGATTAAGTTAATAAAAGAGAAAAATAAAACAAACTGAAAGCAGTCGAACAAAACAGGATTTGTATATAGAGTTAGATAAAATGAAATACCAAAGATTATAGAATTAACGGCTAGGCGGTACTTAGAATAATAAACATAAAACACATACTTAAAGAACCAGAAAAAATGACAACAAAATTAATTTTTAACAAAACTTCAGTTGATGTTAAATCAACAATGCACACATAACACACAATAATGGAAAATGAATTAAAATACAAAAGTAAGAAAATGTGTATATATAATGCATTAGAATCAAACTGTAATTAAAATCAAAATGGAGTTACACAAGGTTTGATAGCTGTACTCTTATGACTTAAAATTGTGTGACAGTGATTAAATTAAGATAAAAGGTAATGTAAAGGAGGACTGTAGGATCAACACTAGGCATGCCTTCAGTACATGTACATGGCCCATTTCTGTGAAATGACACGTGAGTATTGAACTTTAGTAGGCCTATATGTCCAATTAGATTTTGCACACATCTTGCAAATTGTTTACCCCTCCCAAGCAAGTCATTGGGTGTGATGATGTGCTGACCATGCTCATGTGCAGCTGTGATATTGCTACTTCAGTACTTGTACTAGTAAGCCATCCCATTATAAGCCCAACGTCACTTTGGCATGCTGTGGATATTTGAATTTTTGAAATGATATTTGACGCGACTGCATCAGGATGATGTAGATCCGATAATAATAGTCTGAGCAACTTAGACTCTATAAATTGCCTTTTTAAAGATTCAGATATGGTCCGGCGAAACTTGGCAATAAAAACACACGGTATACACATCAGTGTGAAGTCGCCAACTTGGTCTGGAATCAACTTGCTCCGAGTCAACTCCGTCTCAGGTCAATGTGGTCCCAAGTCAACTCGGACTCGTCAACTCTGGCAGGCAGGCACATGGCTGCAGTATGAATAGAAATCTTCCAAGCTAGTTTCAACACACTTTAGCATACCTGTATTAAAGTCCAGGTATATTGCATGTACTGTTCATGTAAATTTACTGACATGTGCAAGAGATGCCTGGCCTTGTAATTTGGGAAGGCCAGGTATTTGGATGTATGATTAATTACATGTACCTCAGATGAGACAGCAAAATCTCAGTCTTTCTTGCCAGACTGACAAACCTTGGCATTTTAGTATTTCCAGAAATCTAACATTGCCTGTTCACTTTATTTACAAATATACAAACTGTATGTTAGCTTATTAAGCCTGACACAAAAGTCAGTGAAAAACTTGGTTCCCGATATACTAGTAACTTCTGTGTTAAGTTGTTGTCAGTTGCTGTGGAGATCAGTGGATTTCCAAAGACTCAGACTTGAACTTAGACTTAGACCTTCTGGACTCAGACTCGAACAATGAGAACTTGGCTACCAGGACTTTAGCCCAAGCCCCCTCCCTGATTTGTAACTTTATTTTACCGCGCAAGACTGGTGGTCTATGCATTTATATGTCTGTGGTGCCAGGGCATGCGCAAAATGGGAAAACAGGACATGACAAGGTTTGGAACGTTCCTTGGTGTATTTGTAAGGGGAGGCTAAGGCCAAACAAAAAATTAGGTGTGTTTCCTATTGCACTGAAAAATAAGTAAGGGTGCATGGTTGGGTAAAATATTTTTTTCACTCTAAATTTTTATAGCCCAAAAAATTAGGGACGGATGATGGCCTGTATTTTTTTTTGGGGGGGGTCTGTATATTTGTAACAGGTACCAAGTCAGTGTCAGATTAATACTGTATATGTGCACGTCAATATTACATATCATCACTGTGATTGAGTAGTAAAGCAGCTGGTTGTTGGAGGCCAGATTAGACGGCACTTTCGGTCTCTTTAGTTAGGGTTTTATGTACATGTATGAGACCTGGGTGGGACCATGAGAGGGCACAATTTTCCTAGCAACAGAGGCCCTTTGGTGGGAACTGCACCACAGGAGACTATGAAGTATACGCATCACGGTTGCGTCGCTACCCGGAGTAAATGAACTCTCCCCACCAACATACATGACAAGGCTCTGTTTGACCAATGAGGGGGTGCTTCTGCTCAAGGCGGATGGACCTACAAGTACATTTCAGAAAGAATTCCATGATGTATGATGATCTACACTTATTCGAGCTTTTCTTCCCACCTCTAAAACTGAACATCTTTTCATTGTCTTCTTCACTCATTATCATCCTGTAATTGGCACTAAATGCGCTGCTGGATGATCAGATAAATAAATAACATCAATGTAGATGTAACAGGGATGCGGCTTGACAACCTTTGCACAAATGGACAATGGAGGAAGAAACCTTATGACACTGGTCTGGAATGTTCAAGTGTTTTCTTAGTGAATACCAG